GCGGAAAGGGGGGGCAGCAGGTGGCTACAAAGAAAATAAAACTCTGCCTTATAAGGATATTTCGGTCCCTCCCGCCTGATCCCGGAGGCCGCCGAGATGGGGCAGGACAGGGATCTCGGCCCTCCCGCCTCAGCCCTCAGGCACAATCAGGGACGGTCCGTCCGGATAGACAGTGGGAAGCCGCCCCCCACAGGTCTCTGTTCCAGCCAGACTCTTCCTGTTCGTGGAAACCAGACAGAGCGCAGGGACCGGGCTGGGGCATGAGGGGAGCCAGGCCCCCGGGCTCTGGTTTTGGCCCCGGGAGGAGAGTGGGGGCTAGTGGTTAGAGCAGACAGAATGTTGCCCTGGGTGCTGTCCCCAGCCAGTATTGGGAGAGGAGAGTGGTCTATGGAGCGGGAGGGGGTAAAGAAGTGGAAGGGGGCAGGGTGATGGGACACGGGGTTCTATTCTCTGCCACTGACTTACTCTGCGACCTTAACTCTGGGGTTGAGATTGGCCCTCTTTACAACGGGGACAAAGATCTGCACAAGCTCCATTCATCCTTCTTTCTAAAGCAGCCGCCAGTCAGTGCCTATGACAAGGGGCTGGTGGAGACAGTCACTCCTCACAGGCAGTGCCAATCCCACCAGCATCCATGAGCTCAGGGAAGGGCAGGAAGTGACAGTCTTGTCCCTGGATCTCAGCCCCAACTATACTGTGCACAGCAGCGGTGGTGGGAGCCAGATGTGTACTGTGAGGTGTGGATGACTCATGTGTGGCAAAGGGATCAGGAGCCTCTGGGATGGGTGGGGACTCTGCTCAGACAGACACGCATGGTGCATTACTTCTACAAAGGTACTGCCAGAGGCAGCTTCTCAATCCAGGAGCGACTGGCTTGTGGCAGAGCTGGGGGCTCCCTCACTGGTTTGCAGGTATCCAAGGGGGATACAGCTTAAGAGGGTAAACTTAAAAAACAGCAAATGGTCTGGTAGCACTTTAAAGACTAACAAAACATGTAGATGGGATCATGAGCTTTCATGGGCACAGCCCACTTCTTCAGATGACCAAAATGTTGGATGTCCAGGACCAAAATAAATAGGGGAGAAAGGAGGGGCAGTGGAAGAGGAAAAAATGGGAAGAGAGGGGGGGAAACAAGAAGAGACAGTGGGTAAAAAATATCAAGGGGAAAACCGAGCTGGAATGTAATAGGAAAAACAAATAGTCGATAAGTTCCTAAGACTGGATAGTCAAAAGAGGCAGATAAAAACCACTAATTAACAACAACTGTTTATTATCTGCCTCTTTTGACTATCCAGTCTTAGGAACTTATCGACTATTTGTTTTTCCTATTACATTCCAGCTCGGTTTTCCCCTTGATATTTTTTACCCACTGTCTCTTCTTGTCTCTCCCCCCCTTCCCACTTTTTCCTCTTCCACCCTCCCCTATTTATTTTGATCCTGGACATCCAACACTCCGGTCATCTGAAGAAGTGGGCTGTGCCCACGAAAGCTCATGATACCATCTACATGTTTTGTTAGTCTATAAAGTGCTACCAGACTATTTGTTGTTTTTAAAGTTTATCCTGTACAGACTAACTCTGCTACCCCCTGAAGCTTAAGAGGGTTTTTTTGTTAGCTGGGAGCAGTGTCCATGTCAGAGTCCTGGCTCCGCCCAACCAAGGGCCTCCTCTACACTTGCAATTTGCACTGGCTTAAAAGTGACCACATGCTGCATGGATGCTCTGAATCTAATTTAAACCAAGTTACTGCATCTTGGCTCAGGTCTAGGATGCTGGTAAGCCAGTCAGCAACAGCCAATGCTGCTTTAACACAGACTGAGCGAGATGCTGGAAACTCCAAACTGTGACAGACTCATGAGTCAAGACCGCCAAAATCACAAGATTAAAAAAGAACAAAAGATATTGCAACAGGGGCAGCCCGTGCATACAGGCCGACTCGGCCGTCGCCTAGGGCGCCGCGTTAAATGGGGCACCCAATGATGATATCACGCCATTGAGGGCAGTGGAAACCAGGGTGCTGATCGCACATTCCGCCTGTGGCACCAGCTGCCGGCAGCTCACCTCGGGCTGCCCCTGTATTGCAATGTTGGAGCCCCCAGACCTCACCTCAGAGGGAGCTGCACCAGGAAAGGAACCTTGCTTAAACCTTGCAAAGGAACCTTGCACAAACAGCCCCCTTGTGCTATGCTAGAAGCAGCTACATCTCCATGTTGGGTGAGGGATTCCTCTAAGTGGCCCTCTCACCCTCCCTAGAGACAGCTGCATCTCAGTGCCAAGAGAAGCCAGTTTCGTACCTAACGTGGTTAATTGAGGTATCCTCAGAACTGTGTGTTCACCTGCTGAGGGCTGAAAAAAGCATCACTAGAAATGCAGTGCCCAGTGACTATTTTAAAGTAAAACCAGACTGCTTTGGGCTTTATATTACTTAGGGTTCTTAGTTACTTGGTTCATGGTGGCACAGCAGCATCCAATCTTGCACTTGGACCTCAACGTGCTGGTCAGGGATCATTCACTGATGAAAATGTTTGCAAGAGATCTCTAGCCCATGTTCAACCCCAATGGCTGGGCAAAACAAGGAGGGTGCATCGAGACTGGCAAGATTTTGCGCAAAAGTGCCCGCTTTTGCGCAAAAACTTGCCAGCTGTCTACACTGGCCACTTGAATTTGTGCAAGAGCACTGACTTTGTAATGTACAAAATCAGTGCTTCTTGCGCAAATACTTTCACGCTCCCGCTCGGGAAAAAGCCCTCTTGCACAAGAATACTTGCCCAAGAGGGCCAGTGTAGACAGGGAAGAACTGTTTTGCGCAAAAAAGCCCTGATGGCTAAAATGGCGATCGGGGCTTTCTTGTGCAAAATTGCGTCTAGACTGGCCAAGGATGCTTTTGCGCAAAAGCACTTTTTGTGCAAAAACAGCTGTGCAAATCTAGACGCGCTTTTGTGGAAATACTTTTAACGGAAAAACTTTTCCGTTAAAAGTATTTCCGCAAAATCATGCCAGTCTAGACGCAGCCGGAGAGCGTCCCAGGGCCCAGCCCCCATGGTTTGGGGAGCTCAGCCCTTAAAGGCACTCACCCTGATACCACCTCCCCTGTTACTAGGTGCTGCATGAACCCAGACTGACAGCCACTGTTCTAGGAGGTGGGGGAAGATAAGACAAAAAGATAGTGATTTAAAACACATGTGGATGTGTAACTCACACACCTAGTGTGGTTCACTGTCTCATGCAGTGGCACCTAGACCACAGCAACAGATAAGAACAAGAGACCGCTACAGCATGGGCTGAGAGGGCACTAGCTTTTAGCTCAAAAGATAGAGGCTCCTATACTAAGCTCCAGAGATACCAGGTTCAAATCCGCCTGGTGGTGGTTACAGGTGCTCTCAGTGGTGGCTTGCTACTGCATGGCCCATTCATGTTTCTGCAAAAGGCAACTCATTCTGGGGCTGGTGTCCTGGTATAATGATGTGTGTCTGAGGGAGGGAAGGTTTACACAGCTATTGTTGTACTGCTACAAGCCTCCTACAGATGCAGTTAATTCTCTCACTAGCTCTCATCCAGCACAACTAAGTGCACTTTATGGTAAACTGAGGCACAAAGGGTCCCCAACTTGCCCAAGATCAGCCAAGAAGTGAAAGTAGAACCTAGGTTTGGTGAGTGCCCATGCAGCGCTCATCCCTAACTTTGTCTGGGCTGGGAGGAGACTTGTACACCTGCCCCATGGAAAGAGGCAGCACCATTCAATGACACTATCAGATTCAAAGCTGAACTTCATTGGTGCAGAGAAGGCACCTGCTCCCAGAAAAACTGATCACTAAACTGACAACCAACCAGAAGCAGAGGGACTTGCAGACTGAGATACAAAGACTATGGAGCAGGCCAGGGGAACCATTCATACTCTTTCACATCTTTCACTCCCGCTGCAGCCCCCAGGCCAGCATTGGATTCCTCCTTCCCCCTATGAACTGCCCATCCCCCTCTATTACAGGGCTCTGCAATTGCTCCTCCCCACCCCAATTCACATCAGGAGCTGTCTGCTCATAGACTGCCCCCTGCTATTCTTGATTTTCCAACTGCCATGTGTTTAAGGCACCCATATTTTCTGCTCCACCCCCCATAAAAGTTGAAAGTAGCCACTGAGATCATGATTTTTTTATTCTCCTTCTCTCCTAACACAGGGAGTCACAGTGGCTGCAAGGTGGCAAATTCTGAATTGTTTACATGATGTGTCATAAGCCTGTGGGATTCTCTGCCACAGGAAGGTGCTGAGGCCAAGAGCTAAGAAAGACACTGAGCAACTTGACATGTTGGTGGATACCAAAGACAAGTGTGCTGGGTACTTACTGCTAGCAAAGCTTTATGAATGGAGAGCAATGCTCCTGTGTTAGGGGTCAAGCTGATCTCAGAGGATGAGACTTAACTTGTGAACCAGTTACTCTTCTTCTGCTACAACAGGGTTCTTGCCTAGCCCTGGCTGCTGCTGAGGAAGGTGCACCAAGTGGATAGCTGGGCAGTAGGAGCAAAGCCAGCCTGTCCCTTCCTCCAAATGCTGGAGGCCGTAGTGCATTATACAGGCTCTCCCACAGTGGCCCATGAGGCCCCTAGCAACTGCCCAGCCTCACTGACTCCTCAGCTAGCTAGGAATACCCATTCTGACAAGCCCATCACTTGTTTTAGCAGGCAGAAGTGCATTACAAAAGGCGCTTTAGGCCCCCCACCAACACATTGAAAGGGACAAGGCAACAGCTCCTATATCACCTAAGGCCTAGTGGGATGAACATCCCACAGCAGGACAGGGACTGTGCCACCCTCCTCCCCACAACAGCCATGTCTGGGCCACCCCACGTATACCAGGCTGAAGCCAGCAAGCAAAGCTGGGCCAGTCCCTGGCTCGTGGTCAGGGGCCTTTGAGGTGGGGCTGGGCAAAGAAGTTCTCACCACCCTCAGAATGAGTATGGGGAAACAAGGACAACACAAGAGTGAGAGCAGCAACAGCTTTCAGCCCCCTTCTGCTAGGCTGACAGCACCAGGCCATGTTCAACCTAAGCTCCGGGCTCTTCCCGTCTTTGTGAAGGAGATGGGAGCCAGAACTCTTCTTGCCCATGGAACTACATCCATCTCTGGCTCTGCCCCCATAACCCATCTCTTTGCAGGAATAGAAACTTTTCCATAAAGATACTCCTAGAACCCCACAGGCCCAAAGTGGCCAGGGAGGTAGAAGGGGACAGAGAAATTAGGAGCACAGGGCAAGCCATGATACCTGCCCTACTGTGTGGGGCTGCTTACATAGGCTGGCAGGCAGAGCAGTCTCAGGTGAGACCTACAGGAGAGCGGCCAGAAGCTCACAACTGATCCGGAGGCAGAAGTGGAGGAGGAGCCAGTTTCCTGCATCACCCCCAAAGTGGAGCCAGGTTTGGTGGAAGGTAGGTACAGCTGTAGCTGCATGTGTTAGTGCCTCAATAGGCTGCAGGTTCCTACCCCCACAAATAAGTGCAGCTTCCACACTGGGAAGGCAGCAGGACATACCCTGCCCCAGCTTCTCTACCCCTTGCACAAACCCTGGAAGGCTGGATTCTGACAAAGCAGTACCCCCAATAGCTCCTGCCCCACTCCCTACAGAACCCTCTGTTGGAAGAGGCAGCCAGACAACAATGGTGCTCTACTCCTAATGCCTCAGCAAGAGGGAAAATGCTAGAGAGAGCTTACAGATGGGTGGGTGGCTGGATGCAAGGGCTGGGCTGCCAGGTGCTCAGAGCAGTGCATGATAAGCAAAGGCAACTGCCTCCAGAAGCAGACACCTTCCCTGCCAAGCTTACAACCTCCTGTGTAATCCAGCCCCCAATTACTGAGCCTTCTGGAATGCAGACGTCACAGCCCAGTGGGGAAAGCTCATGCTGGTTTCCCGGCTGCAGTGAGCTCAGTTCAGGAGAGGGCATCTCCCCACCCTCATGTGGCCTCACTTCAGCAGACAGGAAGAGGTGCGGCTGTGGAGAGCGAATGGGAGAGCTGGGATGGGGGGGAGGAGCGGCTCGTCTGCTGCCATGGGCACGCCCTGGCTAGGAGCTGGAATGTTGGGGGACCCCAGCCCATCTTATCCTGAAGGGTGGGGTTTCTCTTCTACCCCCATCAACAGGGGTCAGAGCACAACTCATCTCAGTCCTTCACCACAGGAATGTAGCCCTCCACCTCCACGGACAGGCCCCCAGCATTGCCTCACAGCCTGCTTACCCCCAAGCCAGCAGTCTGGCTCCTCCAGCAGGTGCTTTATTCGATTACTGCAGTTCCAAGTGAGGGTTGGGAGTTGGAATGTAAACACGAGCTGGGAGCCCAGGGAACAAGGCCAGAGGGTTTTTGTTTTTTGGGGAAGGGGAGATGGTGCCCTCAGGAGCTGGAGCAGACGTATCTCTGACGGATTTCATCTCCCTCTCCCAGCTGTGGTAGCATCACAGGTGTCCCTGCAGGGGGAGGGTAGTTGGCATCAGTGAGCAGGGAGGACTCATCCACGGACTCGAACTCAGCCTCTGCAGGAGGAGGGGAGAGACAGTTAGAGATCCCAGAAGTGCTTGAGGGAAGGGCTGTGCTAGGCTCCACGGAGAGGCCGCCGCAGGATGCTGCAGACACATCCCTTCCTTCAGGTACAAGAACCATCTGTATACCCAGGGGCATGGCCACTACGGGTGCCTACAGGAGACAAACCTTGTCCCTGAATAGAGTCTGGGCCCCCATGAAGTGGAGGGAAAGGCCTCTCCCAGCCCAGTATGGGGGCAGCTCCCTCCTCCAGACCAAGCTGTTCCCAGCTGCACACCCCAGCCTCGACCTTACTGAACAGGTTCTAGGTTCCTGCTTGAGGGGTTCTCGGTGCCCTGATGGATGCTGGAGCCTAGAGGTGAAAGTAAGGCAGTGTGAGCCAGTGTGCCCCTCCATCAAGAAGGAATCAGCTGCAGGGGGAGGCACACTGCACTTCCAGATGGGCTCCTGGGACCCTCCTGCAGACGTCCATGCTAAGAAGCAGGCAGATGAAAGGGGCTGGTTGGGGTCATGCCCCCCACTGGTCTGGGGCTGCTCCAATTCCCTTCCTGGCATCAGTTAGGGAGGGCAGGGGAGCTTCATTGCCCCCCTTCCCCACCTCAAGCTCTTCCCCTTTGCATCACTCTCAGGGAGCAAGAGGAAAGCGCACAGCATACCTGCCTTCCTCCCTTTTGGGTGGTGAAGGGAGGGGGCAGAGGAGTGCGTGAATCATGCAGTAGGAATCTTTGAGAAGCTTCAGCCTGCCCTCCCCTCCCCCACCCTTCCTAAATGGCTCCCTTGTCTTCCTGTATTCCTCCCAACCTGAAGCCCCTGGCCTAGGTCCCCCCCATGGTCCCAGCCCACTGCCCTGATCCCTGCACCACTCCACACACAACCCAATCCTCTGCCTGAGGTCCTCCCTCACAGTCAACCCTGACTCCTGCCCTCCCTCCACATTCTCCAAGCCCCTGCCCTGCTTCCCCACATCGCCACCCCCCAAGCTCACCCTCTCCCCGCAGGAGTTCAATACAACAGTACCTGTAAGAAATGTAAGTTACTTTCACCCTTGGTTGGGCCACAGCTCGATGGGTAAAAAGCGGAGGTTAAAGGGATAAAGCAGGGCAGCTGCGAGTCAGGACTCCTGGGTTCTATTCCCTGCTCTGCTGTGCAAGGTTTTGGGGGGCAGGGGAGGAGGGGCTAGGAGGAGCCTGGAGGTGGAGGAGCTGGGACACATTACTCACCTTCACTCAGGTCCAGTTCCTTCCCCTGGGCTGCGTCCTCTATGTGGCCAATTGTCTCCAGAGATGGGTTTGTTAACTGTGGGGGGGAAGCTGTGCGGAAAGGAGGGAGCCAAAGATTAGAGGTAGAGATTGGGAGAAGGCCAAGGCACCAACACAGGCCAGGTCAAAGAGCCTTGTCCCCTTCTCCACCTCTAAAGGCAGCCAACAGGTCGCACTGAGAAAGGCTTGATTCCCTCCCTAGTGGGCTTGTGGGGTCCCACAGTAGTGACTGGGCCTTCAAATGTTCCCTCAGTGGAAAAGGGAATAAAAACTGCCCCCCAATCAGTAATAGTAACTGGGCATGGCAAAGGGGCACCAGGAATGCGCTTCAATGAGACCAACTGATACAACCCAGGCGTGAAAATCATGCCTGAAACCAAAGTGTATAAACATGAATTAACCAACCAAACTTCATATGGCAGAGATTAGGGCTAAATGTAGGTGCCACCCACCACTGCCTTTCGGGGTCCTCAGGAAAAGAACAGGGGGGACTGGTGGGAATGGACACTGATTGACTAAAACAGAAAAGCAGTAAGGAGCGAGTGTCACCATCATGGCTGGTACCCCCACATGGCTGGTTTCCTGGGATCCTCCAGATCCACCTGGATATAAATTGGACCTTTGACCTTCTGATCCTGAGACACACCGTGAACCGACTGGGCCAGACAGATAGATCCAGACATCACCACCATCTGTATTGGCTTTGGCTGAATCCCAACTACACCCACCCAATCTCCTCAGGTACTTTTCCTTCCTCCTCTCTCCTATCCCTCTCCTTTTGCTTTCTGCCTAATAATCTAGCTAAGCTGGACAAGACTGTGTAGTTTGCAACACTGCTCTAACCCTGTGACCAGCGAGGCAATTGCAAGCACTGCCCCAGAGAGCCCAACACTGGTACACATTTGCCAGGTCTCAGAACAGCTGATGGGTGGGGGCACCTGTTTCCTAGCAGTAGATGGCAGAGGAGCAGCAGAGACAGAAGCTGCATTTCACGTCTCTATGGCTAATAAGGGCTCTCAGGGGAGCTGTAATGCATTTGGGGTTAAGCAGGCTGAGGACTCTGTACTCCAGCCCCCAAGCCTTGGTTAACACTATTTAATGGTGAGCAGCAAATGGGACACAAACTCCTTTGCCTCTTTGGGCCCTTTTATTTTATCTGAATTAATTCCTTCCTGCCCCACCCCAGGCTCCCCCATACCTGTGCCCTGGGGAACCCTCTCCTGGTCACTCTTGCCCAGCCCTCTGGCCTCGGGCTGCAGTGTTGTCAGCTCCTCTTGGTCTGCTGTTTCAGGACAGAGAGCATCTGGGGAAGAGTGGGGCAGAGACCGGACCTGATCAGCACCACCTCACCCAAGATGAGTAACAGGAATCTCCCACCCCAGCAACAGACAAACAGGAACCCCCACACACCAAGGGAAGAGCCTGCCCTCCCCAAAGCCTTTCCTACCCCAGCATCCCCACCAACCTCCCTGTACCTGGCCTGGGAGTAACTATGCGCCGTCGTGCTTCTTCCCGCCGTTGCTGCAGGCTGGCCCCATCCCGTGTGTTTACCTGGGGGGAGGGGAGAGAAGAGACAGGACAGTGGGGGGAGCCAGGCAATGCTGAGTCCCCATTAATGCCACCTCCACCCCACCAGAGCCCCATACCGTCTACTGCATGGGAAGGCATAGCCTCCTGGCCCAATTCCCTCCAGGAACCATCCCCTCATATCTTCACTCCATGCCCCTTCATTTGCAGGGGATACATTTCCCAATTTCCATGCCCCACTGCCCCCTCCCCTCAACAGAGCTCCATTCTTCAACTCCCCCAAGCCAGGGAGCACTACAGCCACCTTCTCACCTGCACTAAGAGGGGCTCCCGGGGCCATACACTGCCCCAGATCCACTGCAAGTAGCTGAAGAGCACGATGACACTGAGGAAGGTGAAGTTACTGGCCACGCCTAAGATGGCCGAAGTCACTGGGAAATTATAGAGGAGGTACCTGAGGCAAGAGGGGGTGCAGAGTGAGCATTAGGGAACTGCAGCCTGGATCCAGTCTTCCCCTTACAAACAGAGGCCCTTCCCCTATGCATAGCCTCCCTCCTGACCCCCCCAACACCACCAACGGGGCAGATTACAAGGAGCAGCTTTGTGGGGCTGCTGAACTGAGTGCACTGCAGACCTCTAGCACCAGGAACTACCACCAGTGCTGCAATCCCATACCCTCCTCTCCCTCCCTCCCCCGTGAAGCTCCCCCATCCTCACCGCAGGCCTGTGAAGTGGGCATGGATCCGCAGCTGTGCCCCATAGATCTGGATCCGGTTGGTCTGGATTTCTATCACGGCTCCAATAGTTGGGACATACTAGAAGGGACAGGCAGGGTCAGAGGCCCAGTTGTGGTCATTGCAAGATCCCCAACCCTGACCACAAGGCCTGCACCCAGCCTCATGCCCTGGTGCCCAAACAACCCAGACTAGGGATGTAAGCAACTAGTTGAGTCACTCCTTGACTACCCGCTTCCTCCGTTGCTGACTCTGTGTCAAAAGCAGCAAGGGTGGGGAGCAGGTACCAGTACTAGGGGGAGCTGGCTTTGGTTCCTCCCAGCACTGTCTCCACAGGGGGGCAGGGGAAGCAGAAGCACAGTGAGGGTCCCGGCTTGCGCCAGGTCCCGCACCACTGTGCCTCTACTTTTTAAATGTAGTAACAGCCACCAGGCTCTTGCTACAGTTAAAAAGCAGAGCTGCAGCAGGGTTAGCTCCTGAAGGCGGTGCAAGCTGGGACAGCTTAGTCCCAGCTCGTGCTGTGCCTGGGAGCTACTCCTTTGCGGCACTCAGTTTAAACGCAGTAGGCGCTAGGCTATCTGCACACCTGGCTCCTACTACATTTAAACTGCAGAGCTGCAGTGGAGGTAGTGAGTGCCTTGCTTATCGACTAGTTGATGGAAATTACATGACTACTTGATTAGCTAATTAAATGCTACTTAACATCCCTAAGACAGAGCTGTTGTCACCTGCACCCCCAGCACCCAACTCACATTGCAAAGCATTTATCAGCACCTTGCTCTCCTTCAGCTCAAACCAGTCAACAGGGCATGTACCTGTTGCCCATCCAAGACAACCTGTGCCCCTCCATACTCTCAATCCACACAGCAGTGGGAGCCGCTATTTGTGGGGAAAAGGGAGGGTGCCTGCACCGGGCACTCAGGGTACACCTAGAGAACAGATGCCGCATGTGTGTTGGGAAGCAGAAGCCTAGCCCAGCAATCCAGACAGCCAATGCAGCAGAGGCCTGCACCTGCCCCTCACCGAGTCCTCCCTGTAGTCCGAGTACAGCTCCACCTCAACTATTTGCTTCTGCTCAGCAAAGCCCAAGAAGAAGAGCCCAGCGAAGACCAGGGTGTCCAGAGTCTGCAGCAGGCCTGAGCGGTAATGCAACATGGTCTGTGGGGAGCAGAGTTAGTGTTAGCACTAAACCCAGCCCCGCCAACACCCACCCACGCCTCTCCACTGCAGAGAAAGGGAGGGAGCTGCACAAAAGTGCGCTGGGGCCATAGCAGAGCACAGAGTAGAATCCCAAAGTCCTGGCTCCCAGCCCACCTTATCCTAATCCAGGAGGCCTCCTCACCTCCTCCTAGAGCCAGGGATAGAACCCAGGAGCCCTGACTGCTAGCTCCTTTTGCTCTACTACCCAAAGAATCACTGAAGCCTGTGGTTAAGGATGAAATAGCTGTTGCAGGGAGCCCTGCCTCAGCACTTCCGGAGCCTCTATCTGATGCCAGGATTGTAGGTGTGCAAGGCGCTGAAGTGGGAGTGGGAGTGGGTAGTTCAGAGGAGGCTGGAATGGCCCTGGACTCACCGCTCTGGTGGAGGAGGAGATGATCCGCCCACCCTTTGTGTAGCAGGATATTGCCACCATGAACATGCCCAGCTCCTGGTTCACGGGTGACTCAGGCAGTTCCAGCTCCAGGGAGATGCGGTAGGGCTGCCCGTACATCAGCACCTACAGGGCAGCAGGGGACAGCAGACAGAGAGGGTGATATCTGCCCCTCCCAGACCATTCTAGAGGCCCCACAGGCTTTCAGAGCCCATAGCTGTGAGCAAAGTGATTCAGAGATGGAGTGGGGAGCCTGTTCCTCAACCCTCCCAAAGCCCCGCACCGCAGGGAGAGTGCATCAGAGATAGAACAGGAAGCCTAACCTCCACATTGCAGGGAAAGCTCCCACCCCAGTACTGCTGCCAGCTGACCCCAGATAAAAGCATTACACTCAAGGCATGGCCAGGGGAACATGACCCCCAGCGAGGTGATAGCCAGCAGCCTGCCTCACGCCCAGTGCCACTTACCTTGTCCCGGTTGTTTTTGACCAGGGAGATGTTGGCAATGGGGAAGGAGCAAAGATCAGGGCCTGGCAAACCACAGTCTGTCCTGGAAGACACAAGGTAATGGGTCACACTCAGGGACCACTAGCTCCCCCAGACCTCTTCAAACCCCCCACCCCCTATTCCACTGCTGCAGCAGCCCAGACCCTTGTCCTTAGGAGTAAGTCACAGCTCGGAGGAACTCACAGCTACAGAACGTGTAGGAGAATGGGAGATTTGCCCAGAAGGGCTCCAACGTGCTGCCCAGAGGGGCCCATTTCAGGGCATCTCACTCAGAAAAGGGCTCAGGTGCTGAATAAGTTAGATTAAGGTCATCTAATCTACCCCCTGCCCAAGATGCAGCATTGGATGGGTCTAATCTAGCCAAGGCAGTCAGCTATCCAGCCTCCTTTTGAAAGCCTTCAGTGAAGGAGCTTCCATAGGCTCTCCCTAGGAAATCTATCCCCCCTCCTGGGAGGCAGGATGTCTGGCCCACCCCCTGGGCATCCTCACCTGAAGCGGTAGTGCACAGGGCTGATGTAGCTCACAGTGGGCATGTAGGAGTAGTAGAAGCTGCCATAGAGAAAGACAGCAACCCAGAGAAGCAGCAGCAGCACGCAGAGCAGGATAGCCGTCTGCAGCACCGTACGTCGCACCCGCAGCAGCAGCAGCGCGGCCACCTCCTGGGCCCACTGAAGGAAGGGCCCTGTGCTACCCGTCATGGCACAGGGGACCTGGAAGGCCACAAACTGATGTCTGGGTGGGTAGCTGAGCCGTCAGTTCCTGCACTGGGGAAGGGAGGATGGAGTGGCAGTGCCTGCTCAAGTGCTTGTGAATGGCTCAGGAAAGGCCCCTTGGCCCAACTGGAAAGGGCCCAGGCTCAGTGGCTCCTTTATAGGGAAAAGGCTCTGGCTCAGGGCAGGCTCTCTGGCCTGTCTGCGCCGCTTAGCCTTCCAGTAATTGTCTCTAGCCATGGGAGAGAGTATCACAGGGTGTCACTGGCACTAGGGCATGGTTGGCAGGGCCATGCCAACCAGCTTGGGGCAGGGCCTGCGTGGGATTGGTCACACACTGGAGTCTTGCTTCAGAAGCCAAATACCAGAGCCAATCTGAGGAAGAAAAGACACAAAGAAGAAGGTCGGCATGGAAAGCAGAATGGGAGAGCCTAGAGTGGGTTGCACGAGTGGGAGTCAGGTCTCCGGGACTCTGTGCAGGCCAAGGGGGAAAGGGAGGGGTTAGGAACCTATCAGTAGCATAGAAAGGGAGTGGGGAGAAGGGCTAGAAGTCTGGGTTCCAGTCCCAACTGGAAAGGAGGGCCCGGGGTGGGGCTGGGAGATGGACTCCCGGCTCTACGGATGAGAACTGCTATCCAAGCACTTACCCCACCTCTGCAGGGGATGGGGCCTAGTGGTTAGAGCAGGGGCACTGACAGCCTAGACTCGCCAGGTCCAGAAGGGGGAGTCCAGTGACCAGAGCGATGGGGGGAGGCACTGGGAGCTAACCCAGGGCACAGCGCACCGGCAGCCGGCTCCAGGGCCGCTCGTACGGACTCGGCCCGTTCTGCGCTCCGCCTCTTCCGGCAGCGAGCGGCCCGCCCCGCCCGCAAAGACCGCGCGGGGCGAGAAAAGCTCCTCCCACTGCAGGCTCTGGCCCTCGCGTGATTAAAGACGCACCGCACGCTCCTTGTTTCCAGTGCCCCCTCCCCCTCGGGCGACCCCCGGAGAGACCCCCCCCGTCTCTATTTCACATACAGGGCAGCAGGACTTGCACTGAGGCCCAGCCACACAGAGCGGGGCTAGCCCAAAGTGCCTGCTTGCCGCCCCAACTCCATGGCAGGGAGCTGGGAGCCAGGACTCTGGGATTCGCTCCCCAGCTCCGGGAACCGAGTGGTGTCTGGTGGTTAGAACCGGGGTCTGGGAACTAGGCCCCCTGGGTTCTCTATTTCACATACAGGGCAGCAGGACTTGCACTGAGGCCCAGCCACACAGAGCGGGGCTAGCCCAAAGTGCCTGCTTGCCGCCCCAACTCCATGGCAGGGAGCTGGGAGCCAGGACTCTGGGATTCGCTCCCCAGCTCCGGGAACCGAGTGGTGTCTGGTGGTTAGAACCGGGGTCTGGGAACTAGGCCCCCTGGGTTCTATTTTGGCACTCGCAGAGATTTGCTATGCTGCTCCAGGTGTGTCTGTTCCCTGCTCTGTGCCTCAGTTTCCCCCTGCCTAGAGTGGGGCTATCCCCCTGCTCTCAGGTGTGAAACCAGACAATCCCCAAGAAGGGTGGGGCTATGAACCCCACTGCCTGTTACCCATCACATTCCAGGCACCCTGAGGAGGGGCTCACAACCAGGCAGAGGAGCAGCCCCCATGCCTAGCATAGCCCCTGATGTCAGATTTCCAAATGAGTATGGTGGGGAGACAGCATTCTCACTGCAGCTACTGCAGGCCTGTACCACCAGCAGCAGAGCAGGGGTGTCCAGAACCTGGCCCTGGCCTGGCCCCTTCCTGGGGTACTCTGTCTCCCCCCCAGCACCCTCCCCCTTTTTCCTGCCCTGCCAGGGACCATGCACCAGGGACCTATGGGTCCTGGACAGTGATCCTGTGCTCCGCCAACTCTGGTGACTGCGTGCAACTCCCCCCGGAGTGGTCATGGTCTGCTCTCAGCATCGAGCGGTTCTGAGCATCCTCAAGGTACCACAGGCGCATTGAATTAGCTGCATCCCGGAGGAGGAGGAGGCACCGGGAGCAGTGCTGTCTGCAGGACAGCTGGGCACACAGGGGAGCCCATCCCAGTCTTTCCAGCTCTGGCAGCCACCGTCAAAGGTCAGTGCCCAGGGGTGCCCTGGCTGGCCACTGGGGTGTGCCTGGGTTCCTAGAGGCACAGCCAGCCTGGATTGGGGGAGGGAGGGCAGAGGGCAGGACCCATGTGAGGCTGAATGGTGGACCGCCCCTAACCATGCCGCTGCCTGAGGAAAGGGAGGCTGGGGACAAGGTTCTTCCCCAGCTGAACTCAGGGATGCCCCTCCCTGACATCCCCTAAGCAGATTGCTGAGGACAGAATTGAAATAATGCTGCATTTAGTGGCTGGGGGTGCCCTTGGAAGGGGAGGAGAGTGATCAGCAACCCCTTTGTCTGCACACAGGCTGGGCTAATCACTCACCATGCATCCACGCCCAGCAGTGTGCCAGGGACCAGTGGGTACCATTCGAACAGTGAAGAGCTGGAGGCTCAGCTGAGCATAAAGGAACTCAGTAAGGGGGCTCAGCTGTGGAAGGGGCACTTAGCTCCTGCCTCCTTACAGGGCCTCAAGCCCTGCTTCTGCTTCCCAAACTAGTGCTTGGGTTAGTCAGATTTGGGAAGCCAGGGGTGTTAGTCCCATCAGAAGACAGTTCTGTAGGGCCCATTGCACTAGATCTTGGGAATAAAATGGGAAGAAGGTCTCAGGGATGGTCCCCACAGCTCCCCTCTACCTGGGGCTGATCCCTGGACAAACACAATCTCCCTGCAGCCCGGGCAGGCAGCCCCCAGCATTGAGTGACCATAGGGCAGAGCAGTCCATACTGCATCTACTCCCTCCCCGCTAGAGAGGCGAGCAAGTAGTGTACATAGGAAGTTGCCCCTCGCTATAGGGAGACACTCCTGGCCCGCAGATAGTATTATGCATGTTACTCGTAGGAAGAGCTCCCCACCCCCTGATTCTCTCCAGGGCAGGAATGACATAC